AAAAAAAAAAAAAAAAAAAAAAAAAGACTAACATAAAATTTTAAAAATAGCATACCATAAAGAAAAAATTTTTAAATTAAAAAAAAAAAAAAGTAACAAATATATAATTTATCATTTATAAAAATAAAAGATAAAATAAATAACAAATAAATATTTTTTTTTAATTCTCATATATTAGAAGAAATATCTATGAGAAAATTCCTTTTAAAAATATATAAAGATAAAAATTAAATTATCATAAAATAACAAGTAAAAAAAACCTTTATCATTTAAAATAGTATGAAATTTTTTTTTTTTTTTTTTATAATCTTATAATAATAACTTTTATTCATTATTGTTGTTATATTTTTTTTAATAATATTTGTTTAATATCTTCGTATTCTGATGACAACACTTCTAATAGTTCTGATGAAATGTGCTTTTTAGGAAACCTTTGAAAAGAATTCTTTGATAAAAATTTAACTATTTTTTGAATTAATATTACTGTATCATTTTTTATATTAGTACCATATTTAGAATTCTGCAAAATTATAGATAGACTAGTAATTACACATATTAGAGTATTCTCATTGATTGAATGTAAAAGTATGAAATTTTTAAAATTATTCTGAATTAAATCTTCATCTTCATACATTGTTTGAATGTAATTATATGTTTCTGTTAAAAAAATGTTTATTCTATTTATGATAGATAATTTAAGTAAAATTAGGTGTTCATTTAATTTAATGTTAATATTTTTCATAATATTTTGTAACAAAAAAACACAAGATCTTAATGGAACAATATTATTTTCAACAAAAAAAATTAAAAATTCAGAATATTTAGGAATCATTTTATTTTCTTCATTAAGTATTGGTGATAAAGCAACAGCTATTTTATTAAAATGATGACCATTAACTTCATTTTTTTTATATTCTAATAATTCTAAAATTTTTTTATAATTGTGAAAAATATAATTATCATTTGTTTTTAGATACAAATTTGACAGAATCATTAATATACTTAACAAATTATTTACATCTATGTTTTTATTCTTTTTATCAATTATCTTATTAATGGATTCATATACCAATTTAATTTTTTTGTGATTTTTGCTAATGTTAAAGTAACTTATATTTAATAATGTATCAAATACTAATTTAATATTTTTATCATAATAATAGTTTTCATCAAATTTATTTATATAAATATCATTAGAAGAAATATAAATATAATCAATATTCATATTAATATCATAATTTGTTTTTAGTTTTTTATCTTGTTCATAATATATACTATCCATATAGTAATTTTTTGATGAAATAATATTATTGTTGTATAAAACGTGTTTTTCAATAAAGTTTGAAATATATTGAACACTCATAGAAAACAATATATTCATGTTATTTTTTAAATTATTTAAATGAGAAAATTGTTTCATATTTTCAACAAATACATATAAACAATACGTAATGCTATTTAATTCTTCTATACTAAGTTTATATACTTTTTCATTTAAAAAATGAAGAAATAAATTACTTCCTTCTATTTGCTCTATGTTATCGTTTGATTCATTAAATTTATCATCATTTGTCTTATCATTATCTGATACTTTAAATTGATTTATTTTTTTTTTTTCTTCTATTTCTTGTTCTTCTTTATTCTTTTTATTTTTTATACCTTTTTCAAATTTTAAACTGTGACATTTCCTTAAAAATCTTACAACATATTTAGTATCGTAAAGCAAAATATGTTTAAAAAAAATCTCACAAATATGTGTAAATATATAAGAATCTTTTATATTTAACCATTTAAATATATTTACAGATGATAAAACATTTTCTTTATTTATTTCATTTATTTTATTTAATAATATCAATTTACAGTTATTTTTCAAATTATCTATGTCATTATTATATAAATAATTCTCTTCTTGATGATTATCACTATAGTTTTTTGATATCTGTGTTTTATTTATCAAATGTAAATCATTATTATTATGTATATTTTTTTCCTCTATTTCTATTGAATTTTTATTATTAACTGTTTCATTTTTTTCCTTATTCAAAATTTCTTTTATACTTTCAAATTCATGATGAGAATTTGCTTCACTTAAAAATTTTTTATTTTCATATTTTTCTATATCTTTAATATCTTTTGTCATATTTATATACATATGAAGAATTTGAAAAAAATTTTGAAAATCTACATTTAGAATTTGATTTTTTAAATGTGCAGCTATCTTCAAATGAAGAGATTCATCATAATTTAATTTTCTTATTTTGAAATCGTTTTTTATTTTAATCAAACAATTACATATATCGTGTAAAAGATTTAAATCTATATTGTTTAAATTTTTTGATGAAATGAAGTAGATTATAATTTTAATATGTTCATAAGGATATTCATTAGTAGTATAACAGCAACATTTTAAAAAAGTTATTAATTCTAAGTTATTCAATTTAATTATATTGTTACACAAATGGGTATATAAATTAGAAATATCTTCTCCTTTAACATATAAATGAGAAAAAGCATTTTTATTTTTTTCTATAACTTTATCTAATATTTTTATTATATCATTAAGTGTTAAGTTTTTAAATATTCTGCTCAAATGTTTGAGTATACAAATATATATATTTTTATTTTCAAAAAAATTATAAGTTAATACAAAATTTACAAAATTTTTATTATTCATTAAATAAATATTGAAATAAAAAAAATCATTTATTTTTAAATATTTTGTTTTTTTTTCTTCATTATTTTCTTCAGATTCATTGATTATGTTGCACATATTCTCTTTTTTTACTATAGTACTACTTATATTCTTTTTAGTAATATATAGTAATTTTTTTTCACTATTTGTAACTACATTTTTTAATTTTGAGAATCTTAAAAAAATATGTTTTTTTAATTTAATCATTTTTCAAACAACATATATTTTTAAAAAATTATCAAATAGAAACATCTGTAAATATTCAAAAAAAAAAAAAAAAAAAAAGTTTAAAAGTTAAAATTAATTGATAAAATGTTTAATAATGTACATAAATATAAATAGACATATATTTTATGAAAACTATAAAGTGTAATTAAAAAATAAAAACATATTAAAGAAAAAATATTATTTTCTTTGTTCAAGAATTATATATATATATATATATTTTTTTTTTTTTTTTTAGGCTCATTTAATTTCTTTAAACAAGGAATAAGATTTTTTTTTTTTTTTTTTTTTTTGTAATTTATATAATATTTTTTTGTAATTTCTTATATTTACAAATTATTTTTATTTTTATTTTTTTTTTTTTTTTTCACATTATCAATTAATCTTTTTTATAACATGATAAAATATTTTAATAATTTTTTTTTAATGAAGCATGAGTAAATTCTTAATTTTCTTTTTTTTTTTTTTTTTTATTATGCTTTGTTTTTATTATTCTTTTTCCTAATGTTCTATTTTAAGTATATTTTTTTTGTGATTTATTTTTAAAGCAATTTTTTTATAGTATAAAAAATTATAGAATTTTTTTTTCTTTAGTATATTAAAAATTATTTATTTTAATTTATTTCAATTTTATCATTAAATCTTTTTATGAAGAATGGTAATACAAATATTTAGTAAAAAGAAGAATTGCAAATATGTAAGTTATGAAAGTGAACACATACTATTTCTATCCTCATTTCAATTAGCATTTGCACTTATGTTTTGCATATATTGTGAATTGTATTATTTATCTATAATGAATGTTGGATTACTAACAACTTCTCTTTTACATTGGAATAAACCGGAGCTAGGATTGAGAAGAAGTATTGATATATTAATGGCGATAATGAATATTATTATTCACATAATTTATTCATTTCAAATAAACATTTATTGTGTATTAATTTGTTTTATTTCTACTATATTAGTAACAACATCATATTTAATTGGTAAAAAATTTAGTTATAATTCTTACAGTGCTATATTTCATTTGTTTATACATACAACTGGGAATTTTACAGCTTTAACTATCTATTATTATGCAAAAAAAAAAAGTATCAATTCATTATAAAATTTACAAATTAGGAAAAAAAAAAAAAAAAAAAATTAAAAAAATAACTAGATATAAAAGAAAAAAATAGAATTAAAAAATAATTAAAAATGAACAAAAATTTCGTTGCGATTCATAATAAAAATCTATATATAAAATGTCTATTAATATTTATTTTATTCAAATTTTTAAATAAATATATATTAACGAATTTCATAATAGAATTCAAAATAGAAAAAAAAAAAAAAAAAAAAAGTTATATATATAAAAAAAAATTCATATTTTATAAATATTTTTTTTTTACTTTTTTCGTTTTCTTTTCCGTGAATTAGTAATAATTCGTAATACATTATTCAATTACTTATTTTTTTTTTTTTAGTTAAAATTTTTATTACACATTATTTAATTTTTCAGTTATTCTTAGAATATATCTATATATATATTTTTTTTTTTTTTATAATTTTTATTTTTTATAATATATATATATTAAAAGAGTTATACTTAACAATATTCTCCATTAATGTAATTAAACTTTTTTGTATTCTATTAAGATAAAAACATAAAAAAATTTTGATAATAATAAGAAATAAAATAAATAAATGTTTTCATTTCAAATCGTAATAATTATTTAAAAATATTATATTTTCTTAATAGAAAAATAATATATGTGTATAATAAATTTTATAAATATCTGAATTTAAAGATATAAAAGATAAGGGTTTGAGGTTTTTTTTTTTTTTTTTTTAACTTAAGAAAAATAAACACATAATATAAAAATAAAAAGTAAAAAAAAGTTAGTTTCATTAAAATTTTATTTAATAGATTTATATTTTTTGTGATATTAAAAGGAAATGGAGAACATATAGAAAAAAAAAAAAAAAAATAAAATAAAAAATAAAAAATAAAAAAGTTATATAAAAAAAAATTCATATTTTATAAATATTTTATTATAGCACTAGATATGTATGTGTATACCCTTTTGATATTTATTAATTATTAAATGTTTCATAAGTTTTTTTTTTTTTTTTTTCATATTTTTTAAATTATGATAAACATATATATATATATTTTGTATTTATAATAATTATTAATAGATGTATAAATAAGAAATAATTTAAAATAATTTTTTTTGTAAATGAATTATAATTGACAACAATAGTTAAGTATATTTAAAAAAAAAGAAAAAAAAAAAAAAAAAAACAATAAAGATGTAAAAAAAGGATGGAATTAAGAAAAATGCATCCCTTTTTTTTTTATAAAGATTATCTATCATTCTATATAATCGTATGTTTCATTTTATTAGTAAATCATTCGTTTGCAATTTCTATTAAGAGGAATTATAACAGCATTCTGTTTGATAATATCAACTTGAGTAAAACTAATCATCAATTTTATAAGAAACCAGATAATTTAACTTTAAGATCATATAAATATAAAAAACCCATAGCATCTATTAGTTCTTCTATAAGTAAGAAATTATCTAACAGAAAAGGAGAATCAGAAAAGGAGAAAAAGAGTTTTACAGAAATAAATAATAGTAAAAATGAGATAAAATATTATGAGAAATTTTATAATAATATAAATCAAGAATTAAATAATAATTCTAGTACAAATAATTTTCATGACACAAAAGATAAAGAAAAGAATATTTACATAGATAAAATAAAAAACATAACAAATTTAAATTCTGTTCCTAAAAATTATGAAGAAAAAAATATAGATAAAAAAAATTTCATAAACACTGAAAATGGTAATTCAAGGAGTTATGTTGATAATCAAACTAAAAATAATAGAATAACAAATAATTCTAATAATTTGAAAAATATAAATAATGAAAATATTGAAAAGTTTAAAAGGGATATTTTTGAAAATGATTTAATGAATACTATAGCTGATAAATTGGGATTTAATAATAAAAAATTTGATAATAATAAAGACCATATGAATTACAATAATAATAATAATAATAATGATGAAAATAATAATAATTATAATAATAATGAAGATATTAATAATGATAATGAAAATAATAATGAAAATATTAATAATAATAATGATAATAAAGATGGTAGTGAAAATGATAAAGAAACTAATTTTCTTTTAAAAGCATTAGAAAGTGGAAAATTTCCAAATTTTTGTGTTGTTGAAAATATAGATGAGAAAATAGATAATTGTGAAATATACATGAATAAAGAAAAGATGGAGGAATTAAATATAAGTGATGGATTTACTGTTTTATTAAAAGGAAAGAAAAAGAAAGAAATGTTAGGAATAGCTCGAGTTGATGAAAGTTTAAAAAAAAATTTTGTTATAATATCTTTTGCAATGAAAAAAAATCTAAGATTAATGCATAATGACATTATAAAAATATATCCATTTATAAAAGTACAAAAAATAAAAAGTGTATTAATAAGTCCCTTTAGCGATACTGTAGGAAGTCTAAGTAGAGATGAAATAGAGAACAAAGTGTTAAAACCATATTTAAAAAATAGCTATAAGCCATTATATGTTAATAATAATATATATATAAATTATAAAAATAATAAAGTGGAGTTTAAAATATTAAATATATCAACAGAAGAAAATGAAAGTGAAGAATGTGGTTGTATAAACGAAGGATCTGAAATAAATCTCTCTGAAGAATATTTAAATAGAGAAGATTATGAAGAACATAATGATGATATTACTTATGAAGATATTGGTGGTATGAAAAAACAATTAAATAAAATTAGAGAATTAATTGAATTACCTTTAAAATATCCAGAAATTTTTATGAGTATAGGTATATCAGCCCCAAAAGGTGTATTAATGCATGGAATACCTGGAACTGGAAAAACGTCGATAGCTAAAGCGATCGCTAATGAAAGTAATGCATATTGCTATATTATAAATGGACCAGAAATAATGTCTAAACATATTGGAGAATCAGAACAAAAACTAAGAAAAATATTTAAAAAAGCAAGCGAAAAAACTCCATGTATCATATTTATTGATGAAATTGATTCTATTGCTAATAAAAGAAGTAAAAGTAATAATGAATTAGAAAAAAGAGTTGTTTCACAATTATTAACTTTAATGGATGGTTTAAAAAAAAATAATAACGTTTTAGTGTTAGCAGCAACTAACAGACCCAATTCAATTGATCCAGCGTTAAGAAGATTTGGAAGGTTTGATAGAGAAATTGAAATTCCTGTTCCTGATGAACAAGGAAGATATGAAATTTTATTAACAAAAACAAAAAAAATGAAACTAGATTCGGATGTGAACTTAAGGAAAATAGCAAAAGAATGCCATGGTTATGTTGGTGCTGATTTAGCTCAATTATGTTTTGAAGCAGCTATTCAATGTATAAAAGAACACATCCACTTTTTAGATTTAGACGAAGAAGACTTTATTGAATTTATGAAAATAAGTGTAGATCAAAAGCAAAAAGAAGTTTCTAATAACACATCAGATATTGATAATAATGAAGAAAGTGAAAAATTGAATAATAAAAATATGTTTATGTCTAATAGAAATGATGAAGAAAAAAAAAAAAAAAAAATCGGTAATTTTTTTTTTAGAAAAGAGAAAGAAAAAGTATTAAATGAAAAAGATAATAGTGATAAAATTTCTGATAAAAAAATAGATGGAAAAACAAAAAAAATACCTTCATATATATTGAACAAGTTAACAATAAAAGCAAAACATTTCCAGCATGCATTAAACATATGTAACCCAAGTTCTTTAAGAGAAAGACAAGTTCAAATCCCAACTGTTACATGGAATGATATTGGTGGGATGAATGAAGTAAAAGAACAATTAAAAGAAACCATTTTATATCCATTAGAATATAAGCATTTATATAATAAATTTAATTCAAATTATAATAAAGGAATTTTATTATATGGTCCACCAGGATGTGGTAAAACTTTATTAGCGAAAGCGATAGCAAATGAATGCAAAGCAAATTTTATTTCTGTAAAAGGTCCAGAATTATTAACCATGTGGTTTGGTGAATCAGAAGCTAATGTTAGAGATTTATTTGATAAAGCGAGAGCAGCATCACCTTGTATTATTTTTTTTGATGAAATTGATTCATTAGCTAAAGAAAGAAATAGCAATAATAACAATGATGCTAGTGATAGAGTTATTAATCAAATTTTAACTGAAATAGATGGAATTAATGAAAAAAAAACTATTTTTATTATTGCTGCTACTAATAGACCTGATATTTTAGATAAAGCATTAACAAGGCCAGGAAGATTAGATAAATTAATATATATTTCTTTACCTGATTTAAAAAGTAGATATAGTATTTTTAAGGCAATTCTTAAAAATACTCCTTTAAATAAAGATGTTGATATTTATGATATGGCAAAAAGAACAGAAGGATTTTCTGGTGCTGATATAACTAATTTGTGTCAAAGTGCTGTAAATGAAGCTATTAAAGAAACAATTTATTTACTAAAAATTAGAAAAAAAGATAAATATAAAAATGGAAAAAATAAATCTGATAAAAATCAAGAAAACGATTTTTATGATCCTGTTCCTACACTCTCTAAAAAACATTTTGATTTAGCTTTTAAGAATGCTAGGATTTCTATTCAACCAGAAGATGTATTAAAATATGAAAATTTTAAAAAAAAACTTACCTTACAAGATTTCGCTTAAATACATAAATAATAATACATAAAAAAGTGGAATAATATTCTATAAAATAAAAATTAACCATATGATGAAACAGTTATAATTAAAAGAATCCAATGTATCAACCTATTTTTATAAATAATAAATACAATTTTTAATTATCCTTTTATAAAAATTAAATTAATTGATTTTTGTTAATTCAAGAGATTCTCTTAATCTAATTTAAAATATCATGTCAATATTTAGTGTCCAAAAAAAAAGACAATCTTTTTTTTTTTTTTTTTTTTTTTTTTTTTTTTTTTT